GGCTGAGGAGCCTGTGCATAGGGAGATGCCCAGTGTTGCTTTATGTCCTCTTAGAGCAGACCTGCATGCCTGTCCCTCATGATCACTGTGGTGCAATGGCTGGTCCAGCCAGAGCAGCATCCTTGTGAGCAACCATTCCTGGGAGAATGGTTTGGGATATGTCAGCAGCTTCCTCTCAGATGGCTGCCTCAATGGCTTGAATGCTTTGGCCACCAATTCGGGGAAATTAAGCAGTTCCTTTACATTGTCCTCTGGCTCTGCTGGGTACACATACTTCTCTTGTTGGAGCCAAATGGCACATTTACTTCTGAGCACTGGCAGCCTCATTGTAATATTGAAGGTGCTTGGGTGCTCCAGAGACTTGACTAATGGCCATCTGGGAGGAGAATAAAACAAAACAACAACTACACAACTGTTACAGTCTTTGCCAGTTATGGATAAAACCACAGCCAGTTCTTCTCAGATACAAACAAGCGCCACAGCATCAAAGGTCTCTCATCCTGGATGTGTTGAATAGGAATCTGTTCACTACTGCCATGGTCTTCATCAAGATTCATGGATTCTGATCCAGTATCTCTTTATCATCCTTCCATCTGCAAGCAAAACGCCAATGTATATACCCTTTGACCTCTGAGCAGAGGCGGGTATGTCTGAAATGATGGGAAGTTCCTGAAGTGCGCATTTTCTTTGCTCTGTGTATTACTATCTCCATCGCATGTTCTGGTTGGCATTGCCAGCAATCATTTGATAGAGGAGGTCTGCCAGGATACAGGGCCACTGGCAAAGACCTCTTCTTTTGTCTTGACACAGCTCACATTTCCTGAGTTTGTGGAGCATCCACTGAGAGCTTCTTCATGGACTCTACTTTTATTCTTGTCCTGTACTCTGTCGTCCAATAAATCTCTCAAATTGCTGTTTTGGAACAAATGGTAAATTTGTCTCCATAGTGGATGGATACTGCCTGGCTCCTCTTGAGGCTGACCATTCCGTTTCTATTTTAAAATCTCTAACAGTGGCAAACTATTAGGGAGAACTGCTTCTTTCCTAATTGTCCTATTCTCAGCAGAACTATGAAAGCCCTCAGTGTGGCATGGACTTGACTCTCATAGGAAACTGACCACCCAACCCCATTCCTTTGTCCTGGGCTCTCTATCTTGCTTTCACCTAAATAGAAGCAGAACTTCTCAGTCCATGACTTACAAGAAGTGGACATCGCATTCTTTGATATACTTCTGAATAGCCTTTTTTTTTTTTTTTTAAGTGAAAAGACTACTCATTGTCAGAAGTTTGGATCAGTTGCCTGCGAGGAAGGTTAGGATTCAGACTTGCATTAACATGAGCAGAACTGTGGTGCGCTGAAGAAGATGGCAGTGTGCACCAAACTTTGCCATGCTCTCCTGTAGATTATAGTGCAGCCCCTGAAAACCAAATCACACTTCTTACTGTTGGTTGTTTCTTTTTAAAAAAAAAATTCACTTACTGTTTAAATCCCCATCTCAGTTCTGTTATTCAAAAATGTACATTTGGTATAGCAATGACAGGTGAAGAAAGAACTAAATATACCTTAAGACCACTGTGCTTAAAATGATATAATGTTTATGATAGCCAGGAAATGATAGGATGGATGGATGGATGGATGGATGGATGGATGGATGGATGGATGGATGGATGGATGATGGCTTCACTAGCTCCTCTTATGAGTGGACCACTCCAATTTTGTGTTTAGTTGCTTTTTCAAGAATTTTCTGTGGAGTATGGATGTGGCCTCCTCCCTCGCCCTTCTTCCTCATCTCTCCTGACACTCTTCCTGTTAGACCAGTCATCAGAACTAAAGAGCTGGAAAGGAACTTAAAGAACCAGTTAGTCCATCCTCCAGTCTCAGTCAGGATACCACATGAGAGGGTGAACTGTCTTGTATGAAAAGACATGAAAGGAGATGTTTCCATTGATTTCTCCCTTGACCCACTTAAGGTGTTCTAATGGCACTTTCATGTTCAGCCTGAAAATTCTCTTTGACCATGTCTTAGTGCATTTTCTGCTGTTATAACAGAATGCCAGATACTGTGATTTGTAATGAAATTTGTTTCTTACGGTTTAAGAGTTTGGGAAGTCCAAGGTCAAGCACCCTCCTATATTGAGGACCTTCCTGCACCCAGCAAGGTGCAAGGCAATGGATGGGGGAAGGGGTTGAACTCATCCTGTTATCAGGAACTTACTTCTGTTATAACTTTCCACTCACATGGTATTGATGTTATTCCTCTGCCCTCAAACCTAATCAGCTCTTAAAAGTCATACACCAATGTGTTGGGGATGAAATTTCCAGTACATGAACTTTGGGGGAACATATAGCAGACTATAATTTGTCTTAGAAGGAACTTTAGGGGAACATATAACAGACTATAATTTGTCTCAGAAGAGAAAACATTATATGGAGATCATCACTTCCTTATTCCCAAACCCTCTGCCCTAATTCCTGAAATATGGTTCTGACCTCCCCTCCCTGAGACCTCTCCTAGGTGAAGGAATAGAAAAAGGGATGGCATCACAGACTGCCAGGATACCCTACCTGAACCTAAGAGATAACCCCAATTGAAAGCAGGAAGAATCAGCCTGTAATCAACTGGAAACTGGCCTAGCCAAGCTTTATATTTCTCTGACCAGTAATGGTGCAGGTAAGGAAAGCAAAAAATTAAAAAAATACAAACAAGTCCTATAGAACAAGAGTGGAGAAAAAATCCCCACAGAGGCTTAGTGACATTGTGAAAACTTAGATACCAATAACAGTCCTCAAGCTAAAAGGAAATATGAGCATAAAGATGTACATGAACATTTAAATGAGCCAAGAAGTAGAAGCAATGAAGGAAGAAAATGTAGTAATGACTCTTGACTATCCCAAAGCATTTGTAGGACTCCACTAATTGGTTCTTAAAGTGCCACTCAGCATGAAAGCCAGGAGGAAGAGACTAGTATTTCCCCCTAGGTGGACACTTCTTTCTTCTCTCTGATTAAGTTAGAGTGAAGTATACCATTTTCGCTGACATACCTTACTTGAACGTTGAACATGGTGTGCCATCCTGTCCTCCATATAGAACCTGGGCTTCTGTATGGAGGCTGTCCCGACCATGCAGCTTATCTCCAAGCCCAATTCACACTAAAGCAAGGACAGCTGTAGCCAGGATAATGTGCCATTGCACCTTACTTGAACACAGAAACCTACCAAGTGGATACATGCGTCTCAGGACCACATCTTAAGTGTCAGTCAAGGAGCAGTACCTCTGATGGGGAGAAGCCTGAGTATTCCTGCAGCTGCTCGAGAGAGTCAAGTCTGTTCTGCTAGCCACAGGAACTTTTTTAGGGACTAATTATTGGTGTCATTGCCTAAGCCAGGCCTAAATCCTCTGTAAAACAGTACTCCTAGACACCACAATCATTACTGCTCGACCAGCTAGTCATATGTGTCTGCCGTGCTGGGCTTAGGTTGACACAGTGGGCCCTGGACTGAGTTGATCCAGTGTCATGCAGGGCAGAGCTGAGACAGGAAGGGTGGAAGAAATCTACATTGGCCCTGGATCACACACAGTCTTGATGGAAAGGACAGCTTAGGAGCCAGGAAATTGAAAAGCATACTGGAGGGAGTGTCTAGAAAGCACTGGAGCTTACCTCACAGATAGACTCAGAGGGCAGCCCTGCTAGGGTTGGGGATGGGGAGCAGCTCTGTTTGCCAGTGCAGAGACAAGCTAGCCTTCAGTTCTTCACTGGCATGGCCGACCTGGAACTTGCCTCCTTCTTAGATTCACCTACCACTTGTCTTCCAAGGTGCTCAAAGAATGAATAAATTGATATAATTATTGACCTCGTAATTTAGATAACAACATGGATATTAGGGCAATTTATTATCATTTACTACTTTCCTTGGAGAGAAGAGAAAATGAAGGAGTAGGGAAAATAAATCAACTTCTTGGGAGCTTCAGCCTAGTTAATGTATTAACATTGATTCAACAGACACCATATGACAGACTGTTTGGCTATGGAGATATAAAGGGGAATAAGTCATGATTCATCTTCCAGAAGATTGCAGTCTGGTGAGAGCCAGAGACATAAACCAGTTACTCCATTCTAGCCTTAGGGACACCCTGTTCTCACAGCTGAGTAGGAAGAAGTCTCCCAAAGAGGGGTCTGGTGAGTTTTAGAAACAAGAAAAGAACTTAGATAATATATTCTATGTTTACATCCATACTGTGTACCAGCCCCTTCGCAAATCGTCATTTAATTCCAAATGTGGAAACAGGTTACTGGAGATTATCATACCAAGTAGCAGAGTGACCCAGGACTTGAACTCAGGCCCCTTGCCTACAGGAGCCCAGCAATCAGGCAGTGCATTATTTAATTTATTTATTTATTTATTTTACTGGTCCTGGGGCTTGAATTCAGGGCCTGGACACTGTCCCTGAGCCTCTTTGTGCTCAAAGCTAGTGCTTTACCACTTGAGCCACAGCATCACTTCCAGTTTTTACTGAGTAATTTATTGTAGATAAGAGTCTCATGGACTTCTCTGCCTAGGCTGGCTTCAAACTGTGATCCTCAGATCTCAACCCTCTTGGGTGCCCAGTTCAGCCCCTCATGTCTCTAAAGGTCCTTTGTGAAGAAGGCTGTCTCATGTGGTGTGGGTTTGGTTAGTAAGTTGATTGGTTGTGTAGCTGGTTGATTGCTTTGGATGATTGGCAGGTAGGTTGATTGGTTGGCAGATGGATTGGTTGGCAGATAGCTTTTCAAGTTGGTTGGTTGATTGGCAGATAGGTTTTTGCAGGTTGGTTGGTGTTGGGAATCGAGAGTGAACATTGCTGTAGCCTTGGGAAACATCCACCTGTTTCCCAGTACCTGTCTCTGGCCAGGCAAAGTACTACCCAGCACAGCTCTAACAAAGGAGACCAAGGGCCATAGTCATCTTTTGTCTGCAGGAGGAGACTGGTTCCTACCACCTGTGCCATGCTGGCCGTCACAAGACTGCACTGCCCACCACTGCTTCCTTTCTAGTCTTCTATTTCTGTTTCCTTTCCCAGATTTCACTGGTTGTGATGCCCAGTGAAGGGTTTTCAGAGTTCAAAGAAACAGAGAGCAGCCACACTTTTTAGTGGGGAATATAACATTTAAGACGCCAGTTCGTTTGGTTCTATGGATTTCAAAAGATTTTGAAGCTGAGAAACAAATAAAATCACTCTGTCAGAGCAAAAAAATTTTTTTGTATATCCCCTCAAGCTTTTTATGTGGTGTAAATAATTAAAATACAACTGAAAAAAGTTTAATAAAAAGCAGTATAATGCACATATTAAGATGAATCAGCGAAAGGAAAGCTCTTAGGAGCAGCTTCACAGTATCCTGATTCCAGTCTGCTTGGAGGCAGTCATGTGCGCCCTTGAACCCCAGGGACCATTCTTCCAAATAATTTGGCCTGTCTGAGTCCCTTTAAGTGGAAGCCCACCAGTCAAAACCCCCAACGGCCAGTAGCACCCAGCCTCTGGCTGTTGTCACATGGTTGTCACATTCTCAGGTCCTACCACAGATCTGTGAAAGCACCTGCCACCCAGTGAGCAGAAGCTGACTTTTTAAGCAGGTCTCATACCTAGTGTGAGCCTAGTATGCTCAAATGAACATAAATACAATCTCATTTTTTTCTCACGATAATATTCTTGGAATAAGTTGAAAGGAAAATTTAGATTATAAAAGATTATTGTCAATATACTTTCATAGCTCTCTACCATGTGCACCTTAACATTTTAATACTCCTGGGGGGAAGGAGGTAGTTTCACAGCCCTGGAAAAGACCTTTGGGGAAACCCAAACCATTTCCCAGGACCTTATTATTTTTTCCATAAAGCTAAAGTTCAGAGTTGTCTGGCCGGCTGTCTTTTCCCTAGTGTAGGGAGCACAGTTTCCATTGATTGCCATTGAGCCATTCCCCTGCCTTCAAAGCCCTAGCAGCTTCTCTGTGCATCCTGTACTTTACCTGGAATCTCCATACACTGCAAAAGGAAGGAATCAACCCTTCCTCACTATTTCCTGAGTTCTACATCTTTTGAGGCCCCTCCAGTTGTTCCTTCATAATGTCAAAGTCTCACAGTAGCTAGTTTGATCTTGAATCCACAAAACCAGCTGTCTTCCCATCTTGGAAACAAATCCTATACAAATAGTGAATTGGAGACATTGTTTTGCCCTTTCCTTGACCTGAATCATTTTCTACAAGTGATTATCAGATATAAACTAAAAGTTTATATACACACAACTTTGCTTGGCAAAAGAATTCTCCTTAGAAAGCAGTTTATCTTAAACAAAATTCAATTCCTATTCTGCAGTATTTTTTAAGTATCTACTTTAGAAACATTTTGCAAATTGCACTGCAAAATCAGAGTCACTACTTCACTTTCATAGAAACTATTGTCCTAAATTTTCTCTGTATACAAAGCTCTGTCCCTTCCCCCTAACCTCTCTGCCATGGAGTTGGGGAAGTGGCTAGAGGAGGAGAGGTTATGTTGAGAAAGTAATGAACATTTTATACCTGTGTGAAAATTTTTAGATTGATCATTGATGCCATAATCATAGTTTTCTACTAGTCTAATGACTTCCTCCTCAGTTCACAAGTCTGCCTACAATCCAGTGTGAGTAGATGATACAGTGTTCTTTATTTGTATCTTGGGAAACTGAGCTAGCAAAGAGTGATACTAGGGTAGGAACTTACATTGGTATTGGTATACTAGTAAATGTTTTATCAAGTAGCTCTCCAAAGACACAAATCCTGCTTTGTGGTAGATGCTAATTTCTATGGTGTAAATACAGTAGCTTCCCAGCCTGGGAAGGTGGCTTATTGGTAGAGTGCTTGCCTAGCACGCATGAAGACCTGGGTTTGATTCCTCAGCACCACATAAACAGAAAAAGCTAGAAGTGGTGCTGTGGTTCAAGTGGTAGAATGCTAGCCTTGAGCAAAAGCAGCTCAGGGACAGTGCCCAGGCCCTGAGTTCAAGCCCCAGGACTGGCAAGTAGTAGTAGTAGTAGTAGTAGTAGTAGTAGTAGTAGTAGTAGTAGTAATACAGTAGCTTCCCCAATCCCTTATCCAAAGTTTTGCTTTTCATGGTTTCAGTTGACCACAGTCACCCACAGTCCAAAAAATTTAAGTAGAAAGCTACAGAAACAAACTTTATAGTTTATGCCATATTTAGTAGCCTGATGAAGTCTTGTGGTGTCCTGCTCAAGGTGTAATCATCCCCTTATTCAGAGTATTCACTCAATAGATAGCACCCACTCGTTAGTCTTAAGAATCTAAGGACAGCCATCAATCATCTAGGGCATCCATCTGTTTGAGCTCATTTGCCATTGCCATAGCAGAATGCCTGAGTCTGGGTAATGTATAAAGTTTATTTTAGCTCACAGTTCTGGAGGCTGGAAGTCCATATCAGGCAGTTACATCTAGTGAGGGCCTTATGTTCCATCATAATATGGTAGACAAGCAGGATAAGCAGAGGGAAGAAGGAAAGCATAAAGAGTGGACTCACTTGCTAACAAACTACTTCTGCTAAACAGAACCTACTCTCATGGAAAGCTATTAGTCAACCTCACTGACCTAATCACCTCTTAGTAGTCCCGCCTCCAACCCTGACAAAATGGCAGTCACGTTTCAACTTGAGTGGGAACAAACCACATTCAACAGTAGTACCTTCATCCATAAAATGGGGTCTTAACCAACTGGTAAACAGCATTTCACTGACAGAAAAACAGTGGCTTTAAAGAGTCAGTGCCCTGTCACCACATCCTGCTCCATGAATCACTACCAGGGAATCTCAAGCAAATTATTTTGCTTTTGTTCCCATCCCCATAAAACAGAGATATTATAGACTTCAAAGATTAATGAAGAGTAACGGAGATTAATTCTTACAGCACAAATTCTGGAAGGGTATATATTAACATATTAATTATCAGTAGCGTGTGGGATTATAGGTGGTTTCACTTTTTACTTTTTGTCCATCTTTCTTCAGTATTTGCACTGGTAAATGTTCAACAACCAGTTCTCCAAATGAAAAGGCCTGATTCATAGAGTTTTCCTATTCTTGTGGTATAAATGTTCCCATTATGACTGATTTCAGGCTACCACTGTGACACCATAAAATATGAAGCTGGGAAGAGGCATTCACAATGGCCCTCAGTAGTTGCTGCAAGCCCACTTGAGCACACCAGTTTTTGCTTTTGAATGTGCAGTGAATATTTTACTTAGAGATAGATTGAGAGAGAGAGAATACTAATTGAGTAGCTAGCATTGTGCCTATCAGTTAGTTCTGTCTTTTCTCCTTTATCCTCAGCACTTATTAATTCACCCTGTGGCTATGTGAAGTTGGGGAGTAAAGGATCCAAGTTTTCTTACCTTGCTTCCCTATTCCTAGGCTCCTAGATTCTGGACAGCCAAAAGAGGAAAGGAATTCTCAAATGGACAAGCAGGTCTGGATAGATAAATACAGGTTGAAATTGTCCTTAAAGGAAACCAAACTAGAAAAGGGGCTGAAGAGGAGGGAACCCATGGGCAGGGGGCCAGTGTTTGACTAGCTTGACTTGACCTTCAGCACAGTAGCACAGCAGATGAATGGGTGGGGAGGGAAGATGAGATGGGCTCTGCAGATCTCTGGAGAATACAGAGGAAAGAGACATAGGATGGTATTCTACAGCCCCTGCCAATGATCATTAGCTATGTCCAGTGAAGGACAGAAATGTATTCCACACCTTGCAGTGTCTGGTCTCAGCCAGCTAGCACTCAGCTCACGTACAGGTGAACAAGACATTTTTTATAATGTTTGGTATGGATGGGAATTTTCACTCTTTGGAAAAGTAGCAGTACTGAGGCTTGAACTTAAGGGTCTTATATTCTTGGTTGGCTTTTTTTGCCCATGGCCAGCATGCTACCACTTGAGCCACAGCTCCAGTTCCATTATTATTAATGATTGAGTATCTTTTATCCATTCATAGCTTGGCCTGTTGCAGAGGGATACTAAACAGCTCAATAAGTTCTCATTGAGTAAATTAATGGCTTAGCTATCACCTGCACATTCCTGGATAGAAATGTGACTTTAAATGAGATGCAAAGCCTTAATAAAGTTTGCCAGTAATTTTAAAATTTCTTCTGCCTTTTCTGTTTTTCTCAATTTTTTTTCATCCTCAAAGAACATGGGTCCTTCTTATTATTTAAAAAATGAATGTTATAGAGGGAAGGGTGACACTGTCCAAAAATAAATGTACTCTTTACCTGAATTATATAACTGTAAACCTTCTACACATCACCTTTATAGTAACATTTTTTTTGTTTGGTCAGGTAGGGCCTGAACTCTGGACCTGGGCGCTGTCCCTCAGCTCTTCAGCTCAAGGATAGTGCTCTACCAGTTAAGCCACAGCACCACTTGTGGCTTTTTCTGCTTATGTGGTGCTGAGGAATTGAATCCAGGGCCTCTTGCATGGTTGTGGGGCCTGAACTCTGGGCCTGGGCGCTGTCCCTCAGCTCTTCAGCTCTACTACTGGAGCCACAGTGCCACTTCTGGCTTTTTCTGCTTATGTGATGCTGAGGAATCGCACTCAGGTCTTCATGCATGCAAGACAAGCACTCTACCACTGAGCCACCTTCCCAGCCCCTATAGTAACAATTAAAAAAAATTTAAATGAATGTTATAAAAAAAATCCACAGATAAAAGTGAATCAAGAGCAGTATCAGCAGTTAATGCTCAGTAGGCCATGTGTGTCTTTCTATGAGGTTCTGAACTTCAGGTCCCACAGTCCACACGTGGGTGGGACCCTAAAGCTCATATCTGCATCATGGCTGAGCCCAGCATCAGGCTCTCTACTTGCTGCTTACCAGGCCCTGACTAATGATACTGTCAGGCCCAGGAAGACAGTGAAACAGTTCTCAGTCAGAGAAGAAATAGACATTGGTAAACTCTCCAATCTCTGCCCCATCACCCTCTCTCATAGCAAATATGCTGCCTCCATTGCTGAGTGCACAGAAGGGGACAACGCCCCCTCATAAAGCATGTTTCTTAGTTCTTAGTACCCCACATCATGAGGGACCCAGCTCATTCTTCTGGCCTAGGGTCACAGTTGGAGAAACCATCCAATGTAGGGGAAGGAGGGGGTTCATGAAAGACACAAGCCAAGTCTGGCATGTAAGGGCACAGGAGTATGGATGGAAGAACTTCTACTCACAACCAAGGAAGCTCAGGAGGTTTGTGACCCAGGTCCCTACACGCCTGTCATGTCATCAGCTCTTCCATCAGCCTGGTAAGTTCATGGCCATCCTATCCTTAGAGCCCTGGTGACTCACCTAGAGCCAGTCAGCCAAGAAGAGGCAGGTTAGAGGTGCCTCCAGGGCCTCCACCACACAGCAGAGCACTAGAAGATAGATGAGCATTGGTGTCCTCAAAACTGACCTTTTTGTGTTGAGACTGCTTTATTGAGATATAATTCCCACTAAAAGTATGCGATTCAAGGGTTTTTAATATATTCATAGAGATGAGTGGCTATCCCTACTGTAAGTCTTACATTTTCATCTCTCCTCTCCAAATAAACCCCGTATTCTGTGTGTGTGTGTGTGTGTGTGTGTGTGTGTGTGTGTGTGTGTGTGTGTTTAGTCATGGGGCTTGAACTCTGGGTCTGAGCACTGTCCCTCAGCTCTTTAGCTCAAGGCTAGTGCTCTACCACTTGAGCTACAGCACCACTTTCGGTTTTCTGGTGGTTTATTGGAGATAAGAGTTTCACGGACTTTCCTACCCGGGCTGGCTTTGAACCTCGATCCTCAGATCTCAGCCTCCTGAGTAGCTAGGTGTGAGCCACCAGTACCTGGCAACCCTGTACTCTTTAACCCTCATCCCTCAATCCTTCCAGGCTCCCCAGCTCAAGCCAAGAAGCCCTTAAGTACTTTTTATCTGTGCAGATCTGCCTATTCTGGACATTTCATATCAATGAGAGCATCCAGCATGAGGCCTTCCGTATCTGGCTCCTTTCATGTAGCATGTTTGAGTTCATCCATGCTGTAGCATGTGCCAGTACTTTTGTTTGTTATCATGGATGAGTAGTATTCTGCATGTGACATATTTTGTTTATCCATTCATTGATAGATGGGTATTTGGGCTTCCACATATGACTAATGCTGCTCTGAAAGTTCAAGAAGTTTTTGTGTGGACATACATTTTCTGTTCTCTGGTGAGATGAGAAGACTGTCAGTTTTCCTGAGTGGAATGAGAGATTCTTTCTGAGACCGTGGGGAAACTTGTGACAATGCTCATTCTCAACAAAAACTGCTGTTGACTAAGTCTTTCTTCATGACTTGTGTGGAACACTGCCTTTGAAGAAAATCCAAGAGGAAACGGTACACCTTCTGAGTCTTCATCGCTTTTCTCAAAACCCCCTGTTTTCATTTCCCCCACAGATATGCACTTATTTGGCCATTATCCAGCACATGACGACTTCTATCTCGTAGTGTGCAGTGCCTGTAATCAGGTCGTCAAGCCCCAGGTTTTCCAGTCGCACTGCGGTAAGTGGACTCCTAGCAGCCGCCGTTCTGGTGACAGTCGTGCGCCCCTGGGCCCCTAGCAGGGTTGCCCTGTGTCTTTCTTAGCCCATGGCTGTGGGTACACTTGTCCTGGGGTTGCTGCCTTTGTGTGCAGGGTGACCGGTTTAGAAGTTTAGTCCTACGGCAAGAATGCTCAGTCCTGTCAGGACAAATGAGAGGAAATCTAACTTGTCTTGCCATATGGGACTAGCTGGCGGGGGCTGGGGGGTACTCTGCAGGTAACTGAGACGGGGAAAGTGCTGGCTTGAGGAAGTGCTCTGCAGCCTGATGTGTACTGCTCCTGAAAGATGACCCATACAGAGGCTCCCCAGATTTGTACAAAACAGGGCTGAGCCCAAGGCAGCCCAGTATGTGAGTCACTGAGTGCTACCCCAGGAAATGGATGTAGAGAAGGCCTCAGGTTCCATCGTCCTTTTCTTTAAAAATCTAAATGTGTTGGCGAGTTTGTTTTTCCTGTGACCTGTGCTGGGAATAAGAATTCCCTTTACTCAGCCAACAGCAAACCCTGGACTCCATTCAGAGCAGGTGCCTGGCCATAAGACAGATGAAATCCTTGCACCACTCCCCTGCAGGGGCTAGCAAGGCACCCAACCTTAGAGAAGGAGTCAACTAATCTCTCTGGGCAGAAGTTTCCTTTTCTCTAAATGAGTGGGACCAGAGGATTTCCAAAGCTATCATTGGGAGCCCAGGACACTGTTTCTCAGCTGCCTTCTTTAAACCATAGCTCCATTGGATGAACATGAATTCTGAATGCCCTGCTTTACTGTTAAAGCTCCAAAAAAACACTTGATATTGTACCAAAAACCAAAAGTAATAAGGCAATTTCAACATTGAATGCACTTTCACAAATCACGTGCATTGTGCCTTTCTCCTATTCCTGACTCCTCCCCCCCCATTAGTTTTTACCATGCTGTAATAAATAGTCGTAAAGGAAAAGAAGAAAATGTACTTGGGACTATTAAATAGTTTATGTATATTGAATGGCATCTGTGGACATATACACATATGTAGATGTACACATATCATATATATCATATACACCGGCATTTTATATATATATACACACACAGACATTTTATATATACATATGTATACATATAAAATCTGTATCTGTGGATATTCTGTGTTTTGTGCTTGGAATATATAGGGAAAGAATCCAGACTCAAGAGATACCTGTTTGAGTTAGTCCAGGACTCTGACCCTCAAGGCAGAGCACTTTACATTGAGCACTGGTGAAGAGGCCGAGTCCTTCTTTGTGTCCTAAAGCCACTCTATTAGTGTCTTAGGGCCCTGAGGAGGTGACTTCTGTGAGTGCGTATGTCCAGCTCTGACATTTTTGTTTCTGGCAGCGTGAGGGTGGAAGGAACTAGCGTGTATTGGCACAAGTTGACCTTCTTGCCCAGGGCTCTGTGGCAAATGCCGCCTCTTCTGCCTGGAAGAGAGAAAAGGTCAAGCCTCTCCAAAGGGAGCTGGTCAGAGGCCTGGTGTAGTGCCACCAGCTGGGGACAGTTGGGAGGAGGGAGTGGTGCATCAAAAGCAGAGCAGTGGTGAGAACGTCCCACCCAGCTGGTTACTGGGTGAATAGCTGTGGCTGCTGTGTTGCTTCTGGGTGTTGGGTGAGGATGCAGCCACTAACTCATTCCCATTCCATATCCATTCACTCACTCACAGGGCTCTGTTCCTTTCTGGGCACCCAAATACAAGTTATCCAGAGAAAATTCAGCCCACATGGGGTTTGTTCTAGTGTAAACCACCAAAGGCTTCCCCCGAAACTTAGTCAACAGCAGTTTTTGTTGAAAGGATCCTAAAAGGGACTGGGGTCCCCACTGCCATCCAGAATCTGCCAAGGGCAAGGACTTTCTCACCAGCCAAGGAATCGCTGACATACAGGCTGACACACAGGACTCTCTAAAGCTTTTGGTGCCAAAGCCAGTCTCTAGCTTAGGAGAGAGCCAGTGGTATTGTGGCCACCTGCTCCAAGCGGTGTTAGCAAATTAGTTTGGGGCTTTGGGGTTACTGACCTCATCACTTGAAGCCTGATGTCCACTGAGCTTCTCACTGAGCCAGCCAACACACCACAGCTCAGCACACCAAGCAGTCTTCCAGGTGTGAGTCTCAGTCATACAAAGTTCACCAGGGCCTGGAGAAGATGCAAGGTGGAATGCAGAACCATTGCAGCTCTTCGGGGCAGTGTTTTTTTAACTGTCCTAAGAATTCCTCCTATAATTTCTTAATTGTCTTCACTGAGGCTACTGTAACAAAATACCATAGACTGGGATACTTTAAACACCAGGCATTGGTTTCTCACAGTCCTGAAGGCTGGAAATCTGAGCTCAGGGTGCCCACATGTTGAGTTCTGGTGAGAATGATCTTCTGGATCATGGATAGACAACTTCTTACCCTATCTTCTTGTGGCAGAAAGAGGGCGGGAGAGCTCTCTGAGATCTCTAATTCTTAAGGATTCCATTCTCAAGACGTGATCACCCCTGAAGGGTTCACTCCTAGTCCCATCATATTGAGTGTCAGAATTCTGACTTGTGCGTTTGCAGAGACCAGGACACAAGTATGCAGTCCTTCACAGTATTTCTGTGATGGGGATGTAGCTCAGTGCTAGAGCATTTGCCTAACACACATGAAGTTTTGGTGTCTACCTTGTATGACAAGCCTTGCTCTTTTTAGGAAGTCAGTAAAAATGCTAAGTCCCAGGCAATGTGCAGCGTGCTATGCATATCTCTGAGTACTGTAATCCTATCAAAAGCCCTAGAAAGTGGGTGTGCATATTAGACTCATTTGGAAGTTGAAGGAGACTAGGCTTGGACAGTTAATGCCAAGCCTACAGCAAGGTCTGGAGCCTGGTTTCGAATTCAGGCATGTCTAGAGTGAGGCCAGTACCTGCCTGGCCAGTCTTCCCACTGCCTATCTGCGTGGATCTCCAAACTATAAATAAATACAGGGTGTAGGCAGTCGGGTTGAAATCTACTGATCCCCCATCCTTTCCAGCCCCATAGCCAGGGCTCTTGATGTGTATTGCTATAGTGGAGATAACATGGCTTTGGTGAAGAACAGATTTCCACACTCACTGTGTGACCTAGTGCAAGTCACACCTTTTTCTGACCTGGTTTGCTCTGCCTGCTTCCTGGGGTTTGGGGTTAACATGACTGGTATGAGACCCTTCCTATCCTCTTCTCTCCAGCTGGGTAGACTTCTTCCCTCATAATATCCACAGAACTAAAAGTGTGTGTGTGTACAGTCAGTTGTGGAGCCTCTTCTGACACAAAATATGTGGGATTTTTATACCAACAGTTCCTGCCAACACCACCTGGGTGTCCTGTGATTGAATTTGATTCTGACACTAACCATTCAGAGTTAGCACAATCCCCACAGGTTAAATTCCAGCTCCACCAAAGTGGTCCTGCTTCATATGCCAGTCAATCCCAGGCAGCAGTCCTGGTAACCATACTCCTGCCTGATGTGGCTACAAAGCAGGGATCCTACAACCCCTCCTCCAGGTCAATAAATTGATTGCATGACTCACAGACCTCAGGGAGGATTTCTGTTGTATTATAATTAGTAGTAGTAGTAGTAGTGTAGTAGTAGTATAATTAATAATAGTATTTATATAAAGGATGCAAATGGTAAGTTCCAGAGGGCTCTGAACACAGGCACTTCTGTCCCTTATTATGAAGTGAATTAGAAGTATACTTCCAACACATGGATACATTCACCCATCTGGAACCTTGGGGATTCTGTCTTTTGGGGTATTTGGGAAGTTCCATTGAATAGGCATGATTGATTGAAGTACAGGCCATTGGTGACCAACTCAGTTTCTGTATCAGTCAGCTGGGACCAAACCTTCCAGTCCTCTAGCTTTATCTTGGTCTTTCTGGATACCAGTCCCCAATCTGAACATACCTGAGAATTGGCCATTAGTCACCTCTTCAGTATACAAAAGGGCTTCTAGGATCTCAGAAGCCCTGTCTGGAAACTGGGAACTAAGATCAACCATCACAAAAGATACTTCATTTGCAGTCACTCAGGACATTACAAAGACTTAGCAGCTCTGTGTCAGGACTTGGGGACAAAGAAGATTAAGGAAAAAAACAAAAACAAAAACCACCTAACCATTTCCTAGCTGTGTGACCTTGGGCTAATCTCACGACCTTTTGAGTCTCATTTTCCTTATGTGTGCAATAAGAATGCCAGTTTCTGCCTGGCAGAGTTATTGTGAGAAAGAAAGTCCACATAGTGTGCTGGCTCGCTGGAAAGGAAATAAAGAGAGTAGCTATTATTGTCAATAAAATGTGGCTTTTTTTTATTAAGTTGAAAGTTTCTTATGAAAAATGAGAAACCACTTTAGTCAACTGCTTCCTGTCTTCGTTCTTGTGTCTCAGGGGACACGCACCGAGGTCAGCCTGTGGACTCTTGCCGGTGATTCACTTTGGCTTCCCACACTGGCAGGCAGAGTGTGATTACATCTGCCCCGAGTGCTGAGGATTTGGCTTTGCAAATATTGGTGGACATTCCCATTAGGCCCCAGTGTCAGCACCTTCAGAAACGCCATGGTGCTCCAGTATCACGTAGGTTCCCAGTAATGCCGCCTCGTCCCAGGGCTGGCCAAGTCCCTCTGTTCCTGACTCTGTGCCCAAGCTGGTGCTGCAGACACAGTCACTGCCTGGAAACCCATTTGCTTGGTGTACAGATGGAGCCACGCACAGTCTGGGCCACACACCTGTGCTGGCCTGCTTGGATCTGCTTCTGAGTTCGTACCCAGAGCTTTTTAGGATGCTTTGCAAGCTTTTGCCCATAAGATCTAGGGTTTTATGAGATCTGTTTGTTTACAAAGTTCTGTAGGTGAATTGATAAGGTCAGGATAATTGTAGAAAGAAGGGAACAAGGATTCCCAATTCCACTCAGCAGGAACCTCTGTCCATCCCAGCTGGTTCATCCCAAGGTGCAGCTTG